CTCAGAAATCGAAGAGGCGTGTTCAGAGATCGATGAGGCGCCATTATTTCAAAAAGCCGGATTTGCGGGATCAAAACGTTTGTCGACAAAGGTAAAAAGTACCACCACTTGATATTATCTCTATATATGTCGACCTTCGTCTTTTATGGCAGGGCAAACCTGAAGAAAATGCCCAACTCTCCCTCACCTCTGAGGGCGCACTCCCAGCAAAGCCTTTCGAAATACTCAATTCTTTCTTCTTCCCCAAAGATGATACCAGATGCCTGGAGTACATATGACCCAGGAGGAAGCAGCACAACAAATACATGTGCTGATTCATTCACCGCTTCTTCAAAAGCAAAGGTATCTCATATCATCAAGGTCAAAAGCAAAAGTATCTCATATCATGCTCTTTCCCTGTCTTTTTCTTTGTCCTTGTTCTTACTCGCATGGCAAAGTAAAAAAAGCAATCAGCCGGCACTTGGAGCCAGTCTTCCGATCTGGAGCCAACTGCCTGGGATCTATTCCTGATTGCTTACCTAGTGTTGCTCTCGAGTAGTCATCTTCAACGGTTGATACACTTCCGGAGAAGGGACCACTTCTGCAAAGGGGAGCGAGTAAGGCAAGTGAAAATGATACATTGAAGCATGTGGAGACAAACTTAGGCTGAGTTATCCTCCAACCCATTTCAATACGAATTGGAAAGATTGAACAAAGAAACAGACCAAAGGAGTAAGCTCAGACCTTCGGAGGAGACCAAAAGAACCATCCTGCTGCCCAGTTCAAGAAGTAGCACAAAGGAAAATCAACGATGGGCGGAAACCAGTTCAAGAGTAAGCCTGTGGAATCACAAAGATCAAAGCCTCAATGCAATTACCAAGGAGAAGATGGAATTTACACTCTATAACCAGATTTGCGTCTCTAAACTCTTCTCTTTGTTAATTACATTATGCCAAGTTTAGTATGTTTAAAGTGCTTTTTGTGTATTTACTTATGCTTTGTGTGAATCTATGCTTAAAACATTGAGGACAATGTTTGATTTAAGTGTGGGGGGGTAACTAATGTTGTTAATGCAAATTCGTGGGATTTTATCACCCATAACTTCAAATGTTGTTCCTTACTGTTTTAAGGTGTTTTTAAGTTGTTTTAGAGTGTTTTAGTATGTTTTGTTTTTATAACTCCGAAAAGCACATAAAAATTTGAAAAATTGTTTTGAAAAGCCTAAAAAGAGTGTTTTGAGTCGTTTTTGTGAGTTTGTGTCTTAGGGTACCTTCCAACACAATGATAAGGATTTGGTTTGTAATTACATGACTGTTAAAAAGAGTTATAAACATAGAGAAAAGTTTGATTTACTCTTGGTTTATGCTTAGTTATGGTTATAATGTATGACTTCACATGCAATCATAAAAGAAAAATTCGTTTTTGTAACATGCTTGAAGGAAGGAACTCAAACAAACGCTACAACCCTGTGAGACTCGAGCCATTACCTTCTTTGGAGAGTTATTTTCTGTGATTCTTTGTTTTCTAAAGTTGTTGAATGATCTCATTATTCCTTGCTTGGTTGCTACTTAGAATGCAATTGTATCATGATAGAACTAAATGCTAGAACTTATATCCGTTTCATTCAAAGCATGATATTGAGTTGCATAACATATATCAAGATGAAGTTGTGTAGTTACCATCATAGCCAAATAGCCTTACTTCCCATATTTCGTATACATTAGTTTTAACCCCGTTGAGCCTCGTTTATCCTATTTTCTTTGCTAACCACGTCACCCCTTACCTAGCCTAGAGTAGGACTTTCCTATACCCTTGTTCTTAAAGTATAGTAAGCATGACTTAAATGAATTCCTTTTGAGTTACATTATGCAAGAAAATGAGTGTGGGGGAGTAAAAGTTTGTTCTTACGTTTATATGTATGTTCCGGGATTCAAAAAAAAAAAAAAAAAAAAAAAAAAAAAAAATTATAATAATAAAAAAAAAAAGAGTGAAAATAAGTAAGAATGAACTCACGAGCGTTGATGGTTGAAGAAAGGGTCCAAAAAGTTGAATATGGCCCTAAGTTTTGTGTGACTTACCCTTGGGTGTTCAAAGTTGATTTTTGCGTTCTAAAGGGAATTCTAAGTGCCTAATTCAAATACTTTGCTCACTATTGCTTTAAGAATGTTTGTTTATCCTTCACCTTTCACTGTTAGCCAATACCCTAGCCCCGTTACACCCCTTTGACTTCTATCTTGAGTGTTGTGTATTTCAATTTGTGGAGTTTGAACTTGGTATGAGCTTATGGTGTCACTGGTTCTCGCGTCTAAGTAGTAGCATTCCATTCATGAGATCATATTCATGTCATTGTCGTAAATCCAGAAAATGCTTTCTTTAATATAACATATGTGAGTGTTAGAATTCATTTTTACATCAATCTTCTCACATATAGCTAGTGTAGGGTGTGTAGTTAGAAAATCTGTGTGAAAAATGAGTGCATATCTTGTAAGGATTTGAGCAAATTCTCTAAGGCATGTTACTACATTCAAAATATAGTTTTAAATGCTTAATTGTGAATTAGTATGTGGTGACTATGATTAAGTATGTACTTAAGTGTAAAGATAACCAAAATCTGTGGGAATGATGATTTTTAACGTGTCATGTGCATTGGAAATCCCTAAGACGGTTGTTGGAAGGTTTAGGTTGTGTTTTACTTGTTTTGTTTCGTTTGGTTTTGTTTTGTTTTTCTTTCTGTTTTGCTCGAGGACTAGCAAAAGATAAGTGTGGGGGTATTTGATAGGAGCATATTCATGCGACTTAAATGGCTTGTTCTCGTGCATTTACGTTATGTTTCTCTAGTTATTTTAGTCCTTTATGCTTCTTTTGTGTGTTTTCAGGTTCTAAGGGCAAGGTATGCAAAAGGATGCCTTTTGGAGCCTTTTGGAGCAAATTAGAGATTGGAATGGATATCATATGCTTGGAGCCAAGAGGATGGACGAAATTAAAGACTTGAAGTAGGAAAGTTAAATCCTAAAAGACCTCATGTTTAAGCATCATTGAAGACTCCTACGCATTTTAGAACACAAAAACAACATTCCTTGCAACCTTAGGACATTGTCGTGTGTTTCCTTGTGTCTCCCTTCCTTGCCATGCAAGGAAGGGCTTTGTTCCCTATTTTAAACACTTAAAGCATTCATTTATCATATCATTCACTTATTATAAGCATTCACTTATCATATCATTCACTTATCAAACCATTCACTTATCACTTCCATTCACTTATCACTTATCACTTCCATTCACTTATCACTCACCACATATCATTCATTTATCACTTAACATATCATTCATTTATCACTTAACATATCATACACTTATCATAATCATTCACTTATACACTTATCATAATCATTCACTTATTCTTTCATCATTCAACCACCAATTCAACACATGCATTTCAAACCTTTCAACACCCTTTAATCATCTCCCTTTAAGTTATGATTTTATTTCCTAACCCTACATGCATTATTTATTAGCATCTTCACATGCATTCACACACACTTCACACAAACAAACAACTCAAAACCGTGAGCTCCCATTCCCTTATGCCATTTTCAGATTTCCACCCACTAACCTAGTCATCAACACATCTCATTCACAACACAACACACCACAAACACTTCCATTCCTTCTCTTTGCCGTGAGTCCCCTTAGAATCCAAAACCATCTTTCCATTTCCACCACTTCCCAACCCTCCAAACCACTCCTCTACCATTTCCATAATCCCCCAAACCTCACCTTAGACCTTGTGCTACAACAACGAGGAAGATAAGAGGGCCTAAACGTTCATACAATTCAAGTTTGAGTTGTTGGAATGTTTAGGTGTTTCTTTGATTTCAAAGTTTAAATTCAATTCTCTTTGTTTTGTACGTATGAGGAATGGAAGAGAAGAGTGCCTAAACGTTCATACAATTCAAGTTTGAGTTGTTGGAATGTTTAGGTGTTTCTTTAATTTCAAAGTTATGAGGAAATAAACCCCCCCTTTAGCTAGGGGGTGATTCGAAATAAATGTTTATACTTGCATTTTGATTTGATTACCTTTCGTTGGAATTTCATAAGTTTTGAATTCAATTTGTTTAACCGTTTGATTGATAACTTATTTATGAATGTTTATTAAGAATGCGCGCTTAATTTTCATGCATAAATATGACGCTAGAATATAAGTGAATTTCACCTAATCGTTATGAACTTATATTCACAAGTAGTGGAGGTTGCTTATAAACAATCGCGTTAAACGAATTCTTGGCATAAGTTTCATGCGTATTCCATAGTAACGAATGCCTCGTCAACACTTATAGTTTTCATAATGCTTAATGATCTTTGATTGTATCTTTATTGTGCTTTTCACGTAAAGGACTTTTGGAGAATGTGGTGAATTGCGTTGCGCTAACCCATCCAATTCATTAACTTAAGGAGAACTTGACGGTTAATTTAAGCGGACCTAATTAACCCGGGGCGTTGAGTTTCATAATTTATCGAAAGACCAACTGAGAATCAATCTTGTATGCAAGTGTAACATGTATGGAGATGAACCCCTTAGCTAGCATTCATCCATAAATTTCATATTTACATTCTGTCTAGTTTATTAACTTGTTTCGTTATTTCAATTTTCGTAAAAACCTCAATCCCCCTTTTGCTTTAATGTTCATTTTAGTTAGAATTCAATTTAGTTTGTGTTTTTAAAGCATTTTGAGTTTTTGGTTTGTCTTAGTGTTTTAAACTTTAATTTTGCATTCTTTGAGTCTAGTTTAGTGTTTTAAACTTTATTTTACGTTTTTGAGTCAGTTTCCAAGAGATTTGCAAGCCCTCCTAATCCCCGGTCTAGAACGATCCCTCACTTATCCATTCTACTACAATTGTCAAACGAGGGTTTAATTTGAGTGTCAAGTAAATCACGCATCAATTTCTTTTTGCAGTCTACCTGCAGGGGTAATCGTGAGTTAATCCATAAAATCATTGAAATGTATGGAAAGTGTACGAGCATGATTGATGCACGGAGAATGTTCGATCATATGCTTGAGAAGAATATTTATTCTTGGCATTTGATGATTAATGGGTATGCGGATAATGGGTTAGGAGATGATGGGTTGCAAATGTTTGAGGTGATGAGGGAGAAAGGGTTGCAACCCAATTCCGAAACTTTTGTTGCAGTAATCTCAACTTGCGCTAGTGCAGATGCAGTGGAAGAAGCATTTATACATTTTGAGTCGATGAAAACTGAGTATGGAATTTCTGCTGGGTTGGACCATTATATGGGAGTTCTGGATGTGCTTGGAAAATGTGGTCATCTCAATGAAGCAATTGATTATATTGAGAAGCTCCTGTTTGAGCCTACAGTGCTGGTTTGGGAGGCTTTGAAAAGTTATGCTCGGATTCATGGAGATTTTGACCTTGAAGATCATGTGGAGGAGTTAATGGTTGTTCTTGACCCATCAAGGGCTGTTGTGAATAAGATCCCAACTCCACCGCCCAAAACGCGTGCTGCCATTAGCATGCTTGATGGCAAGAACAGAATCAGTGAGTTTAAAAATCCAACACTCTACCAGGATGATGAGAAGTTAAAGGCTCTTGCTGCGATGAAAGGATGAGTTTATGTGCCAGACACAAGATATGTCCTTCATGACATTGATCAGGAAGCCAAGGAGCAGGCCTTGCTTTATCACAGTGAGCGTTTGGCAATTGCGTATGGTCTCATTAGTACTCCGCCAAGGCAAACTCTTAGGATCATCAAGAACCTCCGCGTCTGCAGTGACTGCCACAATGCAATTAAGATCATGTCAAAGATTGTTGGAAGGGAATTGATCGTCAGGGACAATAAACGTTTCCATCATTTCAAGGACGGAAAATGCTCTTGTGGGGATTATTGGTGAAGAGCAGATATCACCTCAGACTTGTCTAAGAGTTCTTCCCAGTTGCAGTTTGGTGTGTAAAGAAAGTTCAAACTATGCCGAGCTATACGGGATCCTGTGCAGATGAGCACCAGTGCTAGTCGTTGGTAAGAGATCAACCATCCACTGCTTGTTTTGACTTATATGCTGAACTATATATGCATTGCATTATCTGTTTGTTTCAATGTCGAATCAATTATTTGTCAAAAATTAAAATAATATTTTCTTATCCTTTTGCGGCATCCCGATTGCTCTCTTCTTATGAGATACTGTTGGAAATCACTGTATTTTGGTTCATGATGTCTTGAAGCTATTATAACATACTTTCTTGGACAAAAAAAGAACATACTTTCAAAACATGTCAAGATGGTCCATCTATGGTGCAGAGATGGTGTTTTGGTATTTAGTTAACAAATTGACGTGGCATTGAAGTTGTAAAGTGGGACTACCAACTAGCTCATGATCTAGTGAGTTACTTTCTCAAGTCCCTAAATTCAAATTTCCCATCCTCGTTGATGAAAACAAGAAAAATATGAGGGACCATGGCATGATAGATGGCCAGCTTCCAATTTGGATGAAGTTAATAAACCTTGTTTCGAAGAGATTCTTAGCTCTCTCCAGTTGTATATCCCCTTGTGCCGTGATCATGTGATCAAGGAGATAAACACAAGGACACATATAGCTGGTTGCAAAGCAGATTATCTCGAAGAAAAGAAGAGACATTTGTCTTCACATGGATTTACATCAACACACACAAACACAAATGCAAATTGTATCTCTATTGCTCTATGCACGTCTCATGGAATGAGTCATCATGTTAGAACCTGCTCTACATCTTCGACAATTGCACAAAGAGAGAGTAACAGAAGAACAATACAAGGAATACAATTTCATTAACTGCCTTTCCATCTTTACAATCTCCTATTTATCCATTAACAAGTAACTAACTACTAACAACCTTGTACAGATGTCATCATCCTAGTATGCCATCTGGCAATATCCTAACAATACCTCTCCCTTAAAACCAATCTTACAAAGTAAGATTTACAATTTGAACTAAGTACAATTGAAAACCAGCAATAAAACCGGGAACAACAAAATCACAAGAATGTATTAAAGGATCAACAATTTCTGAAAACTGGAGCTTCAAATCATGGTATATCTCCCCAGTAGCATCACTCCTTCAACGTCAATTAGTGAGGAACCAATTTTCTGACAAATCAGCGACAAATGCAGAAAGTTGATCCTTGACCTTTATCCAAGACCATCCCGGCTCCTTGATTACCCCCTTCGATCTCATCATTTTCCTTCTACCGCTTCCCTCCATTTTCCCTTAGCAGCATACATGTTGACCAGAGTTATGTGAGTCGCTGCACAACTCGGATCCAATTTAAGGATCTCATCTACAGCACGTCTTCCACAGTCGGTGTCACCATGGAGCCTACAAGCTCTAAGGAGTGTAGACCAAACAACATCATCCTGTTGAAACGGCATACTTTTGATCATATCCTCTGCTTCACCTAACCGTCCAGCTTGATAGAGGAGATCAACCGTGCAGCCATAGTGTTCTTTTGCAGGATTAATCCCAAAGTCATTGCTCATTGAATTGTAGTGGAAACCAAGATCAACCATTCCAGCATGGCAACAAGCAACAAGAACACCGATGAAGGTCACCAATTCTGGTTTCAGACCAACCCTAGGAATCTTCTTAAACAGAACAATGGGTTCTCGGTAGAACCCATGTTCAGCATATCCATTAATCATCGCCGTCCATGAAATAATATCACCAAGTTCTGTCACATCAAAGATCTTTGCAGCTTCTTTTATACTTCCACATTTCGAATGCATATTCACAAGAGCACTTTGTACCATAGATGTAAACTCTAAACCGACAAACAGAACATGAGCGTGCAGTTGTTTCCCTTGTTCAAGCATTGCCATGCTTCCACAAACACTCAATACACTAGCAAGAGCAAACTCATTTGGTTGTGGTCCGTCCCTTCTCATCCACGACAAAAACTGAAAAGCTTCTTCCCCGTAACCTCCTTGAGAATACCCGGCAATTCAAGTGCTCCATGAAACAATATCTCTCCTGCTCATCTCATGAAACACCTTAGAACCTGAAGCCAAACACCTACATTTCGCATACATGGTTACAATGGAATTTTCCACCGACAACAAAGAGATAAGACCCCTTTGTAAAACGTGGGCATGCAATTGTTCACCCCATTCAACTCTAGCAAGATTGGCAACTCTAGATATGACACCTGCAAAAGTGTATTCGTTAGGACTGACACCGGCTTCCTGCATTCTTATAAAGGCTTTGATTGCACGGTCCTCTTGACCTGTCCAAACATAAGTTGTAATGATTGATGTCCATGAAAAGACATCTTGTATCCTCATTTTTTCACACAACTGCAACCCGTAGTCTAATTTGCCACCACCCTTATCCCAAATGCCCTTGCAGTAGTCACGATTGGGAACAACATAGGAAACAACACAGCAACCAGTTTCAAATACGGAGAGAGTGAACTTTCTTTCATTTTTTCTGTTCTTGTCCATACAAGCTTCTAAATGATGCAATCCCAAATTACCAGCATACTCCCTATGAATGATCATGGAAGAATCAAAACTCACCTCAAATTTGACCACCTTGGAACAATCAGAAACACAATCTTTATTCTGGGACTTCGAATTGAAGAGCCTCTAACTAATTGTTCCACCCTTGTCCCGAATTCCTTTGCAGTAGTAGCCCATGGAACGATTGATAACCACACAGAAACTTGAGTCCTCACAGCTTGCCAATAAATCCATTGACTCAAAACTGGAGAGAAACTTGGTACCTCCTTTATCACGAATGCTCGTATGGTAGCCAAGTTTAATATCAAGAATGTAACCTGAGTTCAACATTTTGTCGAACAGGTAGAGTGCACGCGAACCAGGCAATTTAGCTTTCCTGAACTCAACATTAGAAACATGAATTTCCAAAATAAAAACTTGGGATTTGCCATTCTTACAATCAGATTCAAGAACAGTCGCTGATTTCGAATGAAAGAACCTTTGAATATTTGTTCCGCCTTTGTCACGAGTCAATTCATGGAAGCCAAGCTTCAAAGAAGCAATGTCGACCGTTTGCTACAGTCCAACAAACACATGGTGGGCATCATTTTCACCAGATTTCGCAACCGAAATTAAAAACACTTTAGGGAAAGAACCCACTTCAGGAAAAGAACAAAGACCCACATCACAGAGCAAGGAGTCTTCACCTTTCTTGGCCAACAATTTTGAAGCATAAACTTTTTTCTCCATACCTATAAATTCACAATCAGAAACAGGGAACCCAGAAACCAAATCGTTTGTGGCACCTGTTTTGTAATCAAAATCAAGAAATGGAGGACTTCGCACAGAATCTTTAGCTTCCCTGCCAAACAAATCGAAAACCTTCTTGTTCTCCCCAGCCAGAACTTTCAAAGAAAACCCAAAACTTAGTTGAAATCTGGGGTTGGAACGAAATGTCGCAGAATCATCGTCGTGGTGTTTGCCGTAGTCGTGAACCTTCTTGAATCTCTTCAATATGGGTTGCAGACAAGGAGGACTTTTGGGCTTGTATTTTGGACGGTACTGAGACAAGAATTCATCCACTTCCTCTCGAGCACAAACCTTTTCCTTGTGGAAGGATTGAAGCTTGAGAACAATTTGATTAGACTTCTCAAGAGAGAGAGGAGATGAAGATTTGATGAACGGCTGATGCGTCGATGTAGCTGCAGAAGATTCCACACCAAGTTTATCCGCAAGCAACTTCAATTGAAGAAGAATTAAATCAGTGGTAGTCTTGAATTCGGTCCGAAATTTGGCCTGAGAAATCGTGAATTCTTCTTGAGACTTCTTGAACTCGTCGGACTTGGCTTCCCGATTGGAAACCCTCGATTCCATGGTTTTGCAAAACGTTTGCGGCGGTATACAACGGAGAAGGATTGAGAGGAACGAACGTTTGGCTCTGATACCAATGTTAGAACCTGCTCTACATCTTCCACAATTGCACAAAGAGAGAGTAACAGAATAACAATACAAACAATACAATTTCATTAACTGCCTTTCCATCTTTACAGTCTCCTATTTATCCATTAACAAGTAACTAACTACTAACAACCTTATACAGATGTCATCATCCTAGTATGCCATCTGGCAGTACCCTAACACATCATGGTCATGAAATCATTTAAGTCAACCGCCGGCAGTCATCAAGGTTGCAACTCTCCTCCAATCCCGTTAGCACTTCCATAACTTCTTCTGTGCTTATTTTTCCGTCGCCATTCAAATCAAACGTCTGAAAAGCGTTCTGGATGTCTATCATCCGAATCCCTCCGTTGTGTACATCCATGAACTCCTTGAAATTGATAAAGCCATCCCGATCCAGATCAACAATCTTTAAAATCTTCTGCACTTGTCCAACCTTGCTTCCCTTTCCTAGTGCTCTCAATATGGCCTTGTACTCAGGCGAAGATATCTTCCCGTCTTTGTTGGAGTCGAACTTGTCAAAGACTTTCTTCATCTCATTGTGATTTGGCTCAAAAGTAAGTGCTAAGCCGGAGTTTTGCCTGTCTTGGACGGAAAATATCCGAGATGGTTTGCACAGAAACTTCCACTTTGAGAGGCTGTACTGGAAGTCGAGGGAGTTGACATTCGACATATCCATCTCAGGCGATCAGAGCAAATACCAAAATCAGACTTTTATTCAACGGTCCAGGTAACCGTCAATACAAGGTTGCAGAAACTTGGCATCTCCGATCTTTATATACTGTATACAACAATTTCATTCCATAAAAAGCTGAGGCAATTCAAGAAGAACAGATTCTTAGGTGATAAATGGCAGAAAAAAGCTAAGAATAGATAAGAAAGGAATACATTCTTTACAAAGGCTAAGCAACTACAATCTCCCCTTGAAGATTGGTTTTATTTTTTATTTGAAATTTATAAATAAGTACTCAAAGGGAGTTATAACAGAACTCACCAAACTAATCGTAAAATATTTCCCGATATACAAAAAAATTAATAAGAAATAACTATGTTTAGCTCATGGCGGTTTTCCATTATCCAAATCCACCATCACTTCAATGTCCTTGCGAGCTGTTATCTTCTGTACGTATCCTACAATGATGAATATCTTGAGTAAGAACTCTAGGGTTGTAAATAAAAAACACAAGGGTTCCAAAAAAAGATTTGCGTTCATAAATGATGACCCAAGTGAATCAGTAAAGTTTCCATTCGAGCTTTGCACAAGCTTTGATGCCTATTAACTTTAAGCATCCTACCCGTAGGGTTCTTTCATAACGTAAATGTTAAAGTTGTCCTCCGCATCATCAAATATTCTCATATACCTCCCCTTTACAACATGGAATTGTGCCCAACTGCGTGCCAAACATTTTCATTGCTCCTATTTCTAGCACTAAACCTCCAACCAAGAGAAGAAAGTTGGCAGACCTAGGCAGTATTGGAGTTAAAGCAAAAGAAATGAAAAACGGTAGAGACACGCTTATCTTAAATTCCATACATCTTCAGATGATATATCATTTCATTACCTAAGTTTACAACTTAAACCTTATTTGAGGACTGGACTCGAAAACATGCATCTACCGCAATGTATTAAAAGGCCAAGGCGTGGGCGAGGCATCCCATGGATAGCCCCGTCTAGGTGTGAGGCGAAGCTTCACGGTACCTAAAATTTTAATATATATTACATGTATAATTATATTTTATAGATATACTACTTTGTAAAACAAATATAATTATAACTAAATCAAAGATAATAACATCTTCTTCATTACTAAGTCTAGTTGTACTTAGAAACTATGTCATAAAGTCTTAAAATGTTGTAATTATTTGTTTTATTGTAAGCAATTATAGAGAACTTTAAGAGAAATAAGGGTAAGTGGTCACAATTATAGGGAATTTCAAGGAAAATAAAGGTTGAGTGTCACAATTATAGGGAAATTCAAAAGGAAATAAGGGTTGAGGGAGAAATTCTAGGGAATTTAAATGAAATAAAGGTTGAGTGGAGAAATTATAGGGAATTTAAAAGGAAATAAAGGCTTAGTGGAGCAATTATTATAGGGAATTTAAAAGAAAATAAAGGAAGAGTTAGAGTTGGAGTTAGACTTTGTCATTTGGAGAGAGAAGCTCTCTTTCTTCTTCGTTTAACTAGAACAGTCTCCTACATTTTAGAAACAAACATCAATTTTGAAGGGAAAATACGCCCATGTTGAACGCCTAGGCACGCCTCAGCCGCCTAGGCACACCCCGACACCGCCCTACGCCCACCCCCACAAAACAGAGGCAAAAATCCAACCGCCCAGCCTTCAAGGCCGCCTAGGTGCGCCCTGAGGTGAGTTTTTTAAAACACTGATCTACCATGAGATTTATATGGGTGGCTGAAATGGATAATGGACAATAATAGGGGAGATGCAGCAATCTGACATGTTAACATATCTGTTAAAAGGCCCCAGGCAATACAAGTCATGATATTAAAGGAAAGCCTCAACTTAGCCGCCAGGAACCATTGTAAGAAATTCAAATATCCCGGTTTCTTGCTTCTAACTGTCACTACAAATCCTATCGAATATAGTCACACATGAGAGCTAGAAGGATTGCGTCCAACAGAAAAGACAAAGGTTGTATCTATTAAGATGAAATAAGATGAAAGGAGAGCATATTATTTAAACTCGAGAGTTCAAAAGTTAAAACCACAAGGATGCTTTGTCCAACATTAACCAGTAAGTTTAATGTACTCGGGATAACTGTCAATCACTACCTATATAGTTTCAAGTTTCACATACTTAGATCGTTTATGTCACACGAGACTAGATAGTACCGAAATATATATAATTACATAAATTAGTTGATAATGTACCATCATAGCTCCTTTGAGGTAACTTTTTATATTACTCTCTCTGTCTCACCACGCACACACGCAGATGGAGGACAATGTTTATGCCACCGGAAAACGGTTCAGCTGTGCTACTGCCTGTTGGCCTCAGTAATTGAGAAACAAGAGACACGATAGAGAACTCTATAAACTCTTGACATAATTTATGTATACAAGAGTTCAGAGAAACCAAATGGAACAACGACAACATAAAATTTCCTAGAGGCATAAAGAAACCAAGGAACACTTCCAGATACCCCAATAATATATTTCAAAGAATTATTCCCAAGTAAAAAATTCCATTTGTCCCCAACTTGTCTACATCAGAGAATTCGAACAATAACTTTGATTATGCTCTATTCCTGTTCAGTTAGGCTGTCAAGCCTACCAGTTGAATTATATAAGGCTTATATTGTTTAGAAAGGAAGAACTTTGACAAATCCAACAAGCCTACCGGTATTTGTACCAGTCTATGTTAAAAATCGAAATACACTTCTACACCTTGAACAGAGTATCACAAGAAAATGTTCAACATGATGGTCTCAAAATCTATTGTTCAAGAGCTAAAGCCTATTTACCTATGATTCATGTGAGTGTTTAAACCAGTAAACAGTATGAACAAACACATATGTAATGAACAATTCCAATCACAACCCAAAACGAGAAAGCACAAAATTTAACATGTAATCGAGTAGAACCCGTCTTTCACAAGCCTCCAACATACAAAGCACAAAATCAGCTCAGAAAACCCCAAAAATTAAAAAAATTTACAATCATACCGATTCCTTGGCAGGGTATGCATTTGCAGACTGTCTCCTTTCCTCTTTTGTTGTAATAACTTACAAATCCTGAGCCTTGGCAACTATTGCACTTTCCTGTCCATTCATACACAACTTCCTTGCAATCCTACAACAATTTCCAATTTTTTTTTTAAATAAATTTTTGGGTAATGGATTATCCACAGGTAATTTTGCAAATTTGAACCAAATAAAAACTGAAATTCCGATCCTGACCTCAACTACAGGATCGCATCGGAGCCTGCGGTCAATCTCCTCCGCCGAGACGGGCGACGTATTGGGATAAGTCATCGGGAGAGGGAGGGCGTCGCCGTTGTCGAACAAATAGCTCTCTCTATCGCGTGACCATTTCCTCTCCTTGGCGTTCACCTTAACACCAGAACTCCCGCTGCTACCGCCCTCGAGGTCAGAATCTTGGCCAATTCGGACGCCGACAGAAGACGCGTCGACAGCGGTGGAGGGGAATTGGATTAGGCGGGGGAATGTGGGGCCCCGATGGAGGTCGCCGGTGGCGGCGCGGCAGCGGAGGGGTGAGGGTTTGGTGGGGAAGAAGAGGCTAGGGTTTGTAGCCAACATTCCAAGAAATGGTGAGGGGCTCAGGAGTCAGAGGAGCGACAGAGAGAAAGAAAGGCTATGAGTTGGAGGGAGGTTTGTTCATATAGATCACCAATGCCGCGCGCGCGGCAACAGCAAGGCACACTAACTTGCGGTCCCTGTTCGTTTATCAAGTGGAAGCTTCACCAGTTGACCTAGATTCTCCTCCCCCCATCTCATACCTTTTTCATTGCCTTCTATTTTTCATGGTAACGATTAAGTCACGTCAACATTTTATATTATTTTTTTTATAAAAATAATGAGATAAAAAGTAATAAAAATATAAAATATTTACATGATTTAAGCGTGACCATAAAAATAGAAGAGGATGAAAAATGTATGGGATGGGGAGGACAGACAATCAAGTCCCTCCAACTCTCTTCCTCTCCTTTCAGCTCTCTCTCTCTCTCTCTCTACTTACATCACTCAACTATTATTATATTCAACATCTCACTTTCTTTTCCTTCTTTTAAAACCGATTCTCTCTCTCTCTCCCCCTCCCTTTCTTTTCGGCTTCTCTCTCTCTTTTCCCTCTCACTAATTGTTTTATTTTTAAAACTCTCACCCTCATTCCATCATCTTTTTCATCTCTGTAAACAGAGAAGCCGAACGGCCAAGGATCTTCACCCTCCATTTCTCCAGCAAACCACATTTTTCGACCAAATCTAGTCCCATAAATCCATATTTCGAACCTTTGGGACATAGGGAACATGACTACGTACAGCTTTGCATGCAGCATCATAGCAACTCTGAGTGCTCTGCCATTGAAGATCCGAGAGCTTCGAGCTCTAACTCTCAATCTCAGGTGAAATTCTCTCATTCTCTTCAACTTCTGGGTTTCCATTTGTGATGGAAATGAATGTTATGTTAAGTTCAAACTCGAATCCGTGTGTTTTTAGCCCTGTTATCCTCTGCATGTGCATGCCTTCCCCGACAACGAACTCCAGCGACCTCCGTGGCTTTCGAGCCATCTTCCAACAAACCACACCACTTCATCTTGGTAAGCTCCAACTCTTTCTCAAGGTTTTCTTCAAGTTCTAACAAGGTTTCATGCATGCATGTGTGTTTCAGTGCGTTTGAGGGATGAATATCTAACCCACCATTTTTTCCGGCGAGTTTGTAGGACTTCCGTTCAAAACCCGGTGAAATCTCTTTGGTTTGGTCGAGTTTGAAATCATAGAACTCTTTCCCAATGTCCAAAGAACTAGTTTCAGGCAATGCATGCTCAAATGCATCAAGTTTGTGCGAAACTCAATTTGGTTGTGGCTTTTAAGCCAATTTCCGGTCACCTCCGACCAAGTTTTGTTCCCCAAGAGGTATTAAAATGCTCTCCTCGTCCCAAGCTTCGTGTTGATACCTCTTATGGGTAAAATGGTTGAGAAATGACTCGGTTGTGTTATTTTAGAATTCTCTAACAAAAATCCAATTCTTGTGCAAACTCGGGGAAATTAAGTTTAGTGCACTAATTCTTATTAGTTTAGTGATTAGTGTAATAATTTCCCGTATAGGAGATGATCACCCAGAGGAGTACTGCAAGCAAAATAGTTGAACGGTTATGACCTACATGTATATGTGAGTGAGTCTTTTGTTTTTACGTATATATATATATATGTATATGTGATTTTTCCCAGCAATTGCTTTTATATACTATGATGTGACATGCCATGTTTAGCTTTACAAATAGACTTTCCGTACATTTTATGTTTTTAATATTATTTGTGAGCATAAACTTGTGGCATGACATTCTTGTATGTTATCTGCTCATTATTACACGTTTGTACGGTGTCACTTAGTTATTTGTACTGTCATGGGCCAAGGACCAGCTTCATGTGTAGTTCACATGCATCGTTTACATTTACTTTGGATCCAGAGTTAGGTGATAGCCTGTCCTTTTGTGTGATGTTTTGGAGTCATATGTGATGCGACTAGCGCAACTCACGTGATGTAGTATTAGAATGTAAACCTACACCCAGCCTGTTCCACTGTTTGAATATCTCTACAGTGGACTTGTGTGCCTACATAAATTAATGAGCAATGATTTTGTATAATAACAACTTGAGATTTAATGTTGAGATACCTTGTTGGTGTACCCTACATCTTTTCACTCACTTTTATTGCAGGGTACCGTATTGCATACTAATATTATATTATTTTTAGGAAACCATGCTTATACCTTTTTTACAGCGAGAGGTTACACTTTTCGAAAAGGTTTTTACGAAACTTTATTTTCAAGCCCACTCACCCTTGTTTTTCACCCCTCCAGGATTTTAGTGCTAGAGGTTTCATGACAACAAGGATGGTTGGCAAAAGCTGTTATGTAGGAGACTTCTCTTTTCGGTATAAATGTCATTACTTTTCTTTTACTACAATTTACCTATGCTCTGACATCACTTGTGTGATATGGGTTCAATCCCCGCTCACATGTGCACTCTAAATTAGTCACTTTTGGGTTTTTATTTATTCACATTTACCACGTCACTACACTTTATGACTTCGTCACCTTCTAAATGTCGGCCAGCACATCGCAATTTGGGTGTTCAGGTGGATATTTCGGGTTGGGGTGTGTCAGTTGAAATTATTAATTTTAAGATTTTAGTTATAATATATAGTTGAAACAATATTTTTAAATGAAATTAGTAACTTTAGGGCCCGTTTGTTTGGCTTCACTAAACTTCCTTGGACTAGACTGGACTGTAATCCGGTGTTTGTTTCACTCGGGGACTACGTTTAATGAGACTCGCCTCGACTGAGTCCGACTAACAGCTTCGCTACAGGGTCTTAGCGAGACCCGCCAAAATTGGGCGGACTGCTAAGACCACTCTACTCCGCTTCACTCCTACCCGCTTCGTCCTCCAATCTACCTCTTCCTCGCGTCCCACAACCCATTTCAAACCCAGATCCTGCCAAATCCGAAACAAAAAAGCAACAAAATTTCCCAAGGTTCCCTTTTCAAAACCAGATCCAACTCCCAAAATTCGAATCCAGGTAACCCAAAAAACCAAAAAAAAATTTGCAGTGGGATGAGCTTGAAAATTTCACCCAGAAAACCCAAACCAAATCCAACCCTCATCTTCTACCTTCGAGCCAATCACACATGCACCTCGCCTCCTTCAATCTCTTTCTTGCTATGTGTTTTGACTTTAAGATTTGCAACCGATTTTGTGAGAGGAAGTGAAGAGGCAGGAGGCAGGAGGCGGAGAGGAATGAAGAAGCATAGAGGATTTGCTTTGGAAATATCGGTCTGTTCTTCAAAAAATAAAGGTTGTTCTTCTAAAATAAAAGTAAAGGCAGCAAATGAAACATTAATTAGGTTTTTAGAAGTTAAATAACTACAAATCATATTTTAATATTTGTTGTTTTGTTTATTTTAAACGCAAAATTAAATAAATAATAAAAAAAAAAAATTAGTTTGTACTTTAGTCCGATACTGCACCAAACGCTTCACTAAGCTAGTCCAGTTTAGTCTAGTCTAAGCCAGTCCAGCTTAGTCCCTGAAGCTAGTCCAGTCCGAGATAGTGCAGTGCAACAAACGCACCCTTAGGATTTTAGTTATAATTTAAATTTGGAATTATAATTTTTGTTGAAATTAGTAGTTTGAGGATCTTGGTTATATTTTTTAGTTAAAATTTGTAATTTTAGGTTAATTTATTAATTTCAATTATAATTTTTTGTTGAAATCCAAATTGCTTTTCCCATCCTTCCTTGCTTCTAACTCGCTCTCAAAGCAGCAGTGTAGAGAACGGAAGTTTACCAAATTCTTGAACCTAATTACTACCACACATGCAAGAGAAAAGTACCCCAGCAATTCGGTTGGGAGGTACTAAATAGTATAGACCCGATTTCAACTGGAGTCTGCCGAATGGTGGTGCCTTACTTCGTGATAGGAGCATATTCATGCGACTTAAATGGCTTGTTCTCGTGCATTTACGTTATGTTTCTTTAGTTATTTTAGTACTTTAAGCTATTTTCGTGTGTTTGTAGGCCAAAAGGGCTAAAGGAGCAAAAAGATGCATTTTGGAGACGTTTGGAGCACTTTTGGGCTAAGGATGGATAGCTTATGCTTGGAGCCAAAGTGTTGGACGAAATTGAAAACCTAATTGAAGACCAAAGTGTTGGAACCTTGTTCCCTTTAGTTTTAGGATATTTAAACCTTTCCTATATCCTTAGTCGTGCATAACATTCCAACATTCCACTCCTTCATTCACCACTTATCATATCATACACTTATCTTATCATCACCACATATCATTCATTTATTACTTATCATATCATTCATTCATCTACATATCAATAACCACTTATCATTCATTTATTACTTATCATATCATTCATTCATCTACATATCAATAACCACATATCATTCATTTATCACTTAACATATCATTCATTTATCACTCAACATATCATTCACTTATCACTTATCTTATCATTCACTTACCACTCAACATATCACTCAACATATCATACACTTATCACTCATCACACTTCATCATTATACCACCATTCATTCTTTAAAACACATGCACATTCACACACACTTCACACAAACAACATTCACATGCAAACACAAGCTTTAACCAACAAACAAAACATACACACACATGCACTTACTCCTTCATCATTACACCACCTTCTCCATCTTTATTCCACATGCATTCATCATAATTCACCCTAGCTACCACCATTCACACACACATGCACTTATTCTTTCATCATTGCACCACCATTCACCATTCACACACACATGCACTTACTCTTTCATCATTGCACCACCAATTCAACACATGCATTCACACACCAACAACCTAGCTCTTTTTCCATCATTATTTCATCCACATGCACTCTCAATCATAACAACCACATTCACTCTTAAACATTTGATGCGAGAATTATATGCGCACAAATTAAACCCTCTTTTTGACAATTGTAGTATAAGTATAAGTAGGGATCGTTCTGGACCGGGGATTAGGAGGGATTGCAAATCTCTTGGAAACTGACTCAAAAACGTAAAATAAAGTTTAAAACACTAAACTAGACTCAAAGAATGCAAAATTAAAGTTTAAAACACTAAGACAAACCAAAAACTCAAAATGCTTTAAAAACACAAACTAAATTG